TATGAGGAGTAATATTGTTTTTAATATTTGCATTAATGGAAATAGAAAGCGTGCCAAGATTTGATTGTGTTTTGTATTGAATATAATTTATTAGGAGAATAATCTTGCAGATTACGTAAATGTGATGTACTTTAAATAAATGTAATTTTTAAATTAAAGGTGATGGAGAATTGCGGATTAGAGAATTACGAGGCATTGTTTCTCTGATAAATTGTTGTAAATAAAACCCAGTGTAAAATTGTGGAACCGCAGGGAATTGTAACTGTTCTGAAATTATTAATTTTATCACAGGGAGTGAGATAAACATATTTTTGATATTAATTCACCCTGCATTGACTTGCATTACAGAATTTTTACCTTAAATTGTAGAAAAATATGTGCGTCAACATAAATTGTCTAATTATTAGACTGTAGATTTTTATGCATTTATAAGAAATTGAAATGTACGAAGTACAAGATGTATGCAGTATATATTGATATAAATAGTATTAAAATTAAATGTCGGATTATAGTATAATATGATAGTAATATACATATATGTTTATTTTAGATTGTGATAACAGTGTACACCAAAAGTAATATTGTTTTCATTACTGCATTAATGTAAATAGAACGAGTGCTAAGATTTGATAGTGTCTTTATTCAATATCTAGTTTTATTTAACTAATGCTTATTTCAAATTGTGTATATAATATACATATATAGTAATGTCATATTATAATATAATATGATAGTAATATACATATATAGTAATATAAGAAATATTGAAATTGAAAATCACATAATATACATGATAATAATATATATGTAGTAAAATTCATATTATAATATTTACAACATTGCAAATTTACAAAAATTTTGATTTGCATAAACATCTGCAGTCTAATAATTAGTCCCAGGGCCCCGGGAGCAATTGGTCCGTCCCTGACGAAGACACAAAGCCAGCAAAATAATGTCCAAAGCGAGTTGTCAAACTGGCAAGGTTAAAAACACGTCGAAGGTCTCGGCGATTCGTGTTTTGACGAATCGTCCTCAAGGTTCAGAAAACTTAAAAAAAAATATGAACAAATTCGAGAATCGACTCACCTACTTGAACAACGTGTATCTTGTCGTGGTAGTTCCTTGGGTGGCAATTAGCGTAGAAACGATCGGTATTCCTGATGGAATGCAGCAGAGACCGACCATTTTGCAAAAGACGAAGAGCAACCGTCCGAATCGACATCTCCCCGCGGTTGCGGCCCGAGAGAGCCCAACGGGCTAGCCCCCCGTAGAAACAAGCCTTCGCTGACGAAGGCAGAGCCGTTATCAGGATGTCAATCGTTTTTCCAAAGTAGCTTCGATAACTGCGTAGGAAAGCCCTCGATGGAGCCTGTACGTGCTCTCTGCTTCGTGGTCGTTTTCGTACTGGCGCTGTCTGGTGCAGGGATACCAGAAATCCCCTCCACTTTTCTACGCATGAGTCTCGGAAGGTTGTGCGCATGCGCAGTGCCCGAAGCGCCAGGAAGGTATCTAGTGTATTCGTGAGAAGGGGTCCTTAGTTCCCACGGGAAATTGAGAATATTGTTATTAGTGGAATCTGCATTAAATCCAATTTATAGCCCTTGGGAAAGAAAGAAAGTGTTGAGAATAGCTTTATATACCGAAGCATTAATTTTGTAATGCATTGTGTACTATAATTATTGATCTCCATTCACAATAGAATGTTCTTCATAGAAAAACATTAACAAAATTCTCATTTGAATGAAAAGTCTTGAAAATATGCAACTTCAAGTCTTAATTTCAATCGCAAAATTGCTTTATGTCGACAAAAATAAATCTTTTTTTTTTTAATTGTTATTACTAACTAAGATTTATTACCGACCAAGATATGGTTTTGTCTTGGCCTACGTAGTGAGACCTGGACACTTCATATTGTTTGAAGTATGTAATTATTAATTGCGTCGCTATTATGTATTTAATATGAGCTAAAGGCAAACTTTCTCGTTTACAAGTAAATGAAAGTATGAAGACTTAGAATTATAATTAACACGTGCTAATGTTATTATTATTATTATTATAAAAGTTTCAAGTATGTAATGAAAAATTTGTTATACAAACATCTTGTACGTATCAATTCCTATTTATGTTGAAAATGAAAAGGAGAAATGTTAAAAATTGAAATTTGGACAACACACATTTTTACAAAAATACGTAATATATTGTTCGTTTTTGTTACAGTAAAATATATCGTTCGAATTCCAATTTCATAAGACATCGATAACATGCTTCATTTCGACATTCCTAAAAAGCATGCCCTTGCAATAAAGTCGCAACACTTCTCCATGAAAAGTCATCACAGCAATCGCGTAAATTTATGATATTTTTGTCCTCGACAAAGTTGAACAATTTCTTAAACGGCAAGTACTGCGATACAGTAGACGTATCCGCGATAATAATTAACTTATGCTTTGCTCTCGTGATAGCTACGGTTAATCTCCTATGATCTCCCAATATTTCCAGATCCTACAAAAATAGCAAAAATATTCAAAATTTTTAAGTTTCAATTCTTCTACCCGTGTCGGATTTAAACGAGGTACCTTGTTAATTATGTTATTACTAGATGAACTCCTCGCGCAAGTGTAAATAATAATTTCCTTGTCACGTCCTTGATACTGATCAACTGTGTTCACTTCGATACTATTCGGAACGATGCCTTTCAATAGGCTTACGTGTGCCCTGTACGGTGCAATTATTCCAATACTACGATGGTCCACGTTCATCTGTATAATAAAACACCTCGAACACGTTAACATTAAATAAAAACGATTACATAAACGACCTATTAATTAATAGTCTAAATGTCACCTTAAAGAGAGCTTGCAGTAGATTCATGATTACAGCAACTTCCCAAACATTTGAATGTTTCTGATCGCTTCCTAGATACTTATCACTGGATTCGATACTCATTTTCATGTCACTCGTGCAACCTGTATTCAATAATACTACGGAATCGTGTATACTCTGCGACAATGCTTGCTGTATCCACTTTCCTTCTTTCGCCAAATTCTAAAAATTAATTAATTAATTCTATTTCGTAAACGATTCATCAACTGATACAGTAACAAATAAACTTACTTCGCTGTTCGTTGCAGCGAAAGTAGCGCTTTCTATCGACGCACTTCCAACTTCTAGAGCGTCGTTGTACGTAAACTTGTTCGCCAAACGCATAATAATTTTATTCATTCTGTACTGTTTTGTTAACGTGATGGTATTATTCGCGCTGTCCAGGCGAGAAAACAGCGATTCGTCTGCGCCAAGTTTTCTGCGAAAGAAGATTCAAAAGAATGAATTGAACGGTATAAAAAATAGAGAGATTTGATTAAACAGCTACCTTGCTGTTTTACTCTTGACGATAGGAGGTAATTGGTCAGGATCTCCTACGAGAACGAATTTGTGTGCGCTGTACAGCGGTCTCAATACGGACGATTGTAAGGCTTGTGCGCTTTCATCTACGATACACACGTCGAATGTTCTTTTGCTTAGGAGAACGTGATTAGAGCTAGCACAAGTCACTCCAACGATATTCTAAAACAATACAAATTATTTTCTTGGTAGTTCCCTAAAATACCATAAAAAAGGTTCTAGTATCAGTTTCTAGTATCCAGTTTCATACTTTGCTAGAGTAAACAGTTTCTAAACTCTCAACGGAGTTACAATTCGCAATCATATGTCTCTCAGATTTATGTTGCACCAACGGATGGACAGCTGACGACCCCAATCTCAGGAAGTCGACACCCTTTTCCAGTAATCTCAATAAAATATTATCAACGCAGCCATTTGTGTAGCCAGCAATCAAAACTGAGTATCCTGTTTTGTTTAGCAGGCTTATTAAAGCCACTAATGTTTGCGTCTTTCCAGTTCCTGGCATTCCTTTGATTAGGATATATTCATTGGCACTCATGGCTTTCAAAACAGCTCTTTGCTGATTTTCGTTCAGCTCGTGTATTATCTCAGCACTTTTCCGCACGATGGAATGTGGTACACCTTTGCTGAACGTTGCTGGCTTCCTGTTATCAGAATTGGAGTAATCGTTCATGAAAGAGAGCATTTATTTGATTCTAGAAATTATGGTAATTATTTAGAAATTTACCCTCGCCAATTTTTATGACTTTGAAATATGTTGTCAAGGTCGTCATACTGAACAATTTTTCTTTGTACATGTTACCGCCAAAAGGCTTTAATTTCCGAGATATTCGTAGAAAACTTAGGTTACACTTGTATTATTACTGCACTGCATTCTAGGGAAAATGGCGACAGGCCCTCTCCCAATATAATATACGAAATTCTACTTGAAAAGTTGTCACATCACCATTTTACTGCATCTGAAGTAGGATCTCGTCTATTATGGTGAAAACCATCTGAAGTAGAATTTCGTATATTATATTATATTATATAGGGGATGCCGCCATTTTCTCTAGAATGCAGTGCAATAATAACATAAGTGGTTTCACATCACTATAATAAACGAGATCCTACTTGAGATGCTGTAAGATGGTGATCTGACAACATTTCAAGTAGAATTTAGTATATTATACCAGGGGATGCCGCTATTTTCTCTAGAATGCAGTTCAGTAATAATATAAGTGCAACTAAAGTTTTCTACGAATATTTTGGAGATTAAATCCTTTTGGCGATAACATGTACAGAGAAAAGTTGTTCAGATTGATGACCTTGACAACATATTTCAAGGTCATAACTTCTAAATAATTACCAAAATTATTATACAGACCTATCTATCACAATGTCTCGTAATTTTGCACAGATTTCGTTATCGCCCAATAAACCACCTACGTTGGCAATATTAAGGGAAAACAAAGTACTGTGTGAGTACTTGTCGATGTGCAGTGACTCGTTTATGTTATATTTGCTAATATCTCTGAAATTGCATATAATTAATTACAATGAATCATAGGTAACGTATGTATCACGTGTAGCTTTTACATTTGCACATACCTGTCTAGTAAAACGGTAATAGAATATTTTTCTATGTGCATTATGAAACCTGCTGATACGTTTACCCGCGTGTCTGTACTAACTATCACATATTCATTCTCTGAAAATTCCGTGTATGGAATATCGACATCTCCACGACCGAATGTGTGCTGGTACTTCGAGCTGTGCTCGACCACTTTGCTTATTAATTTCAAATTACTTATGCAAAGTTTCTTCTCTTCCCTAAAAACGAAACAAGTAAAAAAAAACTTAGCATAGAAAAATTTCTCATTGCGATTATCGAATTTAGCAAGCCAAAATGCATCAGAAAAAAAATTGTGGCATTGAATGTACATTTTAAAGTGGTGTTATCTCTCACCTCTTTTCTGGACTTAACGTCCACATGTATCTCGTTATGTTATCAGAGGTTTGCGCGTTTTCCTCTATTTGCAACAACGAAACCCACTTTATGATGTAATCGATATGCGTGGGTTTGAACTTTTCCAAGATCTGTTTGCTGAGCTGTGCTAATGGATGCGATTCCGATAATTGAATTTCCGGGTCTCTGCTTAAGTAAGAGCAACACAACGCGTTATAGGAACACGTCGAACAAGCCCTGTGATGGTTGATCGGCTCTGGTAGCTGTAGCATTTTCAAGTCTGGTTCGGAAGTCAACTCCAATGACTTGTCCACTAGCTTTGGAGCGATGTAATTAGCTATGGTGTTCCTCAACAATATCAAATCCCTTTTCTCAGGATGTTTACACTTGATCTCTTGCATGTTATTTTCTCTGCGATGAGAAATTTAGGATAAAATAATTCTGTTTAGAGGAATTTAATGCGTTTACATAGACAAACGAATTACCTGAGATACAATAGCAGACCAGTGTCTGTGTCTTGACCCGTGAGAGCCATCATCATGATGTACAAAATAAGTTGACCTCTGTGTTCCAAAGAGAACGAAGGCTTACCTGTCTTTATTTCCAGTGGCATCAACTTCCGCTTGGAATTCAGGCTAACTTCTACGGTAACATCCACTTTACCTTTCACTCCCAACTTGGGGAGCCAAATATTTTCCTCTATGTCGCGTACACGAGTGATTCTTCCCTTGAAACTATCTTTTATGTTACTTATCTCTTGTTGCTTTTCATCTGAAAGTGTCATCATTCTATAAATACGAAAGAATGAAATAAAATCATTAAATACTTTCTGCTTTTACCTTTTAAATAATGTCGAATGAAATTAAATATTTTAGGTACAAACGCGAGCATCTGTTTCCTACACTCGTCAAATTTAATTTCTGTCGCGTAAAGGGTACTAATAGTCTCCTTGGACTGCAGTATTTCATCCAGTAGCTTTGTAATGTCCGACATTACGTGGACATTCTCGCATATTGCCTGTAACGTTAACTCTATATTTGAATATTGCAAATATTGGATACGAAATCAC